CTGAACTCTTGTACAAAGAAGATGAAATGCTTGAAGCTTGTGTTTAAGTGGGCTTCTTCCCCAAGCTGAACCACTTCTGAGAAATGCTGATGGTAGATATGGGCATAAACACGAAAGAGTCGTTTCAATATCGTCTTTGCAATAGAAAAGAAGTTCTTTGGAAATGGAACACCTATTAAAAATATTTATAAAAATTTGTTCTATTTATATGTTCACAAAACAACAGAAGGTATATGCATGATGTATCATGTTACAATGTTTAATATTTTTTTAAAACACAATTCTATGATGTAAATGTAGCTTGTATTCATGTGTGTGTGTGCGTGTGCTACAAGAATACATCAAACACAGCTTAATAAGTCCAGTAAATAAATAAACAAAAATTGCCTGTCCATGTAAATTTTACAAATTTATACTTTTATGTACAGGTATATTGAGATATGCTTCAAATGCAAATGTGTCAGTATGAGTACAATAACTTTACATTACAGTATCAATTTATTAAAAATTTAAAATGACAAAACATTCAGTTTGTAAAACTTCATTTCAAAAAAGATCATACATTCTGAATTTATAACTTTAAGAGCAAAATGTTCTGCATTAATTCTATGTCTTCTATGGGAGACAATAAATATGATAACTACATTTTTAAAAATTCAAAGCTGAAAAGAAATAGTTCTAACTGCACGTGAACATAAATTATTAGAAGTTTTTAATATTTGTTTTTTAAGACTTATAATGTAGGTAAATTAATATGCAGAATTATATATTTTCTCTATGTTAAAGTACTTTTATTTGCGAGCATTATTACACAATGAAGTCTCCAGTAAAAGGACCAAAAGCTTGCAACTAAAAGTATTTTAATGTAAAGTCCATGAATAATTCTACATATAGGTTTTTTTAATATAATACAAAGTACTCAACTAGAAAGCAATTAATATATATATTTCTCTTCTTTCTGAGTCACAGATGCCAATAATGAATAAAATATTTTCACAAAACTAGATGAAATATGTGAAGATAGTTTCTCACAATGTATGGTAACAAGTCTCTGGCAAATGAGTACAAAAGTATAAAGCTCTGATCTCTTTTTATAGTTCAGTTGAAGTGGAGTAATTTGTAAGTGCAGATGGCACCTAAAACTGACCAATTACAGGGCTATCTGACACAAAGTTGTCATATTCTGCAATTATAAAATTAAAATGTTTTGAAGAAAGAGAAATCTGTATCATTGAATAGTATTGATAAGGCAAGGGAAGGTATGATTTCAGAAGGAAAAACCAAAAAACTGACTACTCCTACACCAGTTACCACACACACACATTGAAGGTAGTGAAAAAACTTAAACAGGTTGTCTCTGGATGTAGCCCAAGAACACATGTCTATTGTGACTACAGTTGGAACTTCCCCAGGAATTGTAAGCAAGATAATTAATATGGATTTCAATCTTGAAAAGGACACAAGGGCCACATTAACTCAGAGCCTTTTTCTAAATGACATAGCTGAATGGATGAACTGTCAAAAGCATATGCCTATTTAAGTGTCTGACAAAGTCTCATCACCTGCCAGTGATAAAATATTAAAAAAATGTTACACAGATGTTGAACATTTTTTCCAGAGGGATTTATGGTGGCTGCATGTTACAATTATGATGGTAATCTAAACATTTCAATAGTCAGGAAAAATGCAACAGGTGAAATGTGCATACTACTTGGCTAACACCACTATACTATGAAAAACATCACCTTTGTGCAGACTAGCTGACAGCTTTGTGTAATTCCATCAACACAAAGCATCCAGTCACATGTCCAAGTCAACATGACAGGTTTTTTTTACAAGATACAAGTACAAACTGGAATTTGTGCTAAACCGTATGCAGAAGGAACACTTAAATTACCAGATGCATCTCTTATGCAATTTGGAAAGCATGTAGATAGGAATGGGACAATATTAATTTCAATGTATTGCACTAAAACCTCCTGCAGCGAAAACTGCACCCCACAGGAACAGTCCACAATTAGATCTATTACACAGAACACCATCAATGGTGAAAGAAGGGGGTGTACAACTGAGACAGTCATCTTTGTACTGTTATCATACATTGAGAGCACCTCCCTGTAAAGCAGTTATATATTGAAAATCTTCTCAATGTTAATAATAATATGAAAGATAAAAATAAATCATTAACATTAAATATTTCAAAATAAGATCTGATTAGTAATGGTAGTTTCAGTAATTGTTTAGACTTTAATGTAAGTATAAAATAGGTTTACCTTTAAAATAAAGCACATTCAAGGTTGTACCTGGCTAAATATTGTTTTATTTTGTGATGATCTGACATATTCAATCTTACAAATAAAAAACAGGGCAGGACGAATGTGCCACATCAAAAATGTAATCTATCCAATCATATGTATTATATGTGGAGATGCATATATAGGAGAAGCTGGAAAACTTTTGCACATGCATTTCTCAGAACACATCAGTGCATTATATATGTATGACCAACACAAAACCACCTCAGCAGAACACTTTCTATACAAACACGTAACCCCCAAACCTAGAAAATCAAAACCCATTTAAAATTTCTATCTTACAAAAAAACAAAGATTTTAAAGAGAGAAAGTGTATGGAAGATACATTCATCAACAAAAATAATCCAAAAATGAACAAATACAATGAATGGGACATGTAACTAAACTGCCATTCAAAAAACAACACACTATACTAGTATATTTAACATCATTACTATAGTTTAACACTTGTATATTCTGGTGTATCACACAATCTTACAATATGTTTTCAGTACTGCTAGTAAATTTCATATCCTCTCAACTTGAAATTTTTGTTTATTAGCAGCTTCTATTTTCTGTCTAAGTGTTTTTGTAGCTAATCATAAAACATTTTATGATTCTCAATTTTTATATTGCATATAAGTAACATATGTCATATGTTAGTACAGCTACAGTTAGTATCATAACTATACTATAATATTATAACTATAGTGAAAAAATAATAATATTCTATACACTGTTAGAGGACCGTTTAGCCAGACTCGAGAAATAGAACATCACAGGCAGTTTTATAATTTAACGAATCTTGTAATATCAAACAGTTTTATGTACTAGCCCTGAAGAATTTTATGTATTACCCCCAAAGAACCCACAAAGGCAAAATGTTGTTTAAAATAAAAAGTTATTTTAATTATCTGGAGTGTAAAGATTGTTTTATTCTAACATTTTAATGAAATCCCTCCAGTATGCACTACAAAATTTGAAAGACAACAAATAATGAAGTAAAAAATTTTAAAACTGCAATGTATATATAGTATTTGAGTTTACCTTATTTTAGTCTCATTAGTTTTATATGCACAGGAATACTGCACATACATATAAGTAATATCAAAGTATAAAATCATTCTTACAATGAGGCCCAACAAGAAAATTTATAGTGTGATGTGGCCACACAGAGACTGCGACAATTCCTTGGCACAAATAGCAGATAACTACAGTAAACACACAAAAGTTTGTTGTATAACAAACTTCCATTGGAGTTTTGTTAAACACAATAATGGTAAATAAGAAACAAGCTTTAAAATTTTTAAATCCAACACCATTAGTATAAAAGACTAAGAGATAAACAAGGGTGGCTGATTCATATTGCTAGATGCCTAAGACAAGATGATTTGTGCCCAGGAACAAGTTTCACCATTATACTTTGCCTGTCCGACAAGCATTTTTTTTTAACTTAATCATTTTTTAATATAACTTTGAAATTACTGTGTCATTGCTATTATAAAACTAAAACAGCAGTGTTATACATGAAATATATACTGCACAACAGTACTGGACTAGGGCAGTGGCCCTTGTTTCCTTAATAATATCTGAAGTTTCAGTAGTTTTTGGAAAATAAATTGTTTAAAAAAAATCAACCTCAAAAACATTCATTTTAATGCAAGAAAATATTTTGCAAAAGTGAAATTTCAGTTATAAAACCAGTAAAAGTTTATAACAAGTATAGGTGGGTGTAGTTCTCATAATTCCAACTGGTTCCTGCCAAACAGCTGGTAGTCACTTCTAAAAGCTCAAATTTATGCAGTTATTTTTCCTCTTAACAAGCCTCCAGCATAAGCAACTAACTATTTGATACTTTTAAAATGTAATTTACTTTAATAAAAGATTTATAAAATTCAAATAATGGCAGAAAGTTACTTCATTTGTAAAATATTTCAATAAGAACTTCTTGTCATTTTGAAAACATTGGCCTAAAATGAGATATCATTCTAGCAGTTTAACTTGGCTTGAGTTTATGTATACGATAGATATCAAGTACTTGTGTCTTATATCCTCCTCCCACACACACACACACACAGTTAAGAGGTTAAATCATGATTAACAAAAACAGAAATCACAAATACAAGTGCAGAAATGCATATATAACACAGAATTATATGTTACCATGACTTCTGATAAAAGTGTAAATACGAACCATAACACTTCATCATTTCACTTTTTCAAGTAAATCCTCTACCTAAATAGTTTGAGAAATAATATATAAATTACATGTCCCTATCTATACAGTGAACAAGAATGTAAGGAAACAGGCAAGCACTGATAATGCAGTTTCTAAATATATTCCAGCATGTAAAATTTCACAAATGAAATGGAAGCAAGAACAAAAATAAAAACAAAGGCTGATGAAGATCAAGATGGAGTATACAGCATTCTGCCAAATTAATTTCTAAAGTAAACGATCTAAACAACTAGTCTTACACACAACCTTATATATATATAGTATAGTAAAGAATCTTGCACAAAAACAGAAAAATTTGATGACACTGTATGTAAATCTAAGTGAAACATGAATAAAACAGAAAAATATTATTATTTTTGTTTTGCCATTTGTGATTTACAAAAACCATACATACTCAGTTTTGGAAAGTATGTTTGCACTCGATGATCTTTTCTTTATTTGCATTCATGAAGCAAAAATTATTATTAATCACTAACTGATTGTGTTCACTGTCTTCTAATGAAGATCTTTTAGTCGAAATATTATTTCCAGTGCTCTACAAATATACATTTTTCAGCATAGTTGAGTGTGCGTTTATCTTCAGTCTTGACTATGTTATTATTTTTTATATTTGTACCTCTAATACAGACTGGATGAATGCAAATAAATTTAACTTTTGTTCATTGTTTAATAAAAGTAAAATCCTAAAAGTTACATTTCATTTGTATGGGTATTTAATGGGATGGTATGGGGGAAAAGTAGATTTATAAAAAGAACAAGTACATTTTTCCAGCTTTTTTTCCTTTGGATAAATTGTTTTTTCAAAAATTGCACATTCCTGATGATACAGCAATAATCAATATTAATTAAGTATACAAGACTTACTGAGATTATCACTTATCTCCAACTTATTAAATTTAATTACCTTCCTTTTTTTTGCTTTAGAAATTGTTTTATGTTCTTGCAGTAAGCTATTTTGCAAAAGCCATGCTACATGAAAGGATTTGGCTTACCACTTTTAATTAGGAATAAATCTTAATATACAAGATTTAAAATTATTATGTTTAACAATACAAAAGATACTGTGGTTTTTACTCTCTCTCTCTCAACCAGAAAAACTAAGTACTTGTCAGTTATACGTCTCATAAATGAGTTCAAAAAGGAAATAAAAAACTACTCTAGCTGCCTAACATCAATGTTAGTTAAAAATGTATATCAAATAAATCTATTTATTTTTTCATAGTTAAATAACTTAAAGGTATTTCTCCTATAATCAATAGGCTCACCAATTTTGGAAGGAAAAAGAGCCTCATCATCCAATTGGTCCTGGACCCAAGTCATGAGGTAATCAATATATTTTGGTGCAGAACACTTGATAGGTTTCTTAACTGTTTGCCCATCAGCCCAATGGTATTCATATTTGGGCCCAGCAGACATAACTGAACAGCTTTCTTCTGTACAAAACTCAGTAATTGTGCCATATAACATGTTGATCTGGTTGAAAAAATCCACAGCTATAATGGATAAAAATCTCATAATGTTTTCTATATGTATAAAATACTTACTTTGAATTATATAATTCTATTTTTAATAATGAAACTAACTACTTAGTTACTTTTTTGTAATAAAGGATTTTCAAATAAGAATGTATAAAATTGAGCATACATTTCAACATTATACCGTTTAATTAGAAAACATATATACACCTGCTGCAAGCAGTACCCAATCAGGTATTCTATCAATCAAATGAGATCAACTGAGCTGATTTCCACACAATTTAACATTCTTACCTCAATTGTTTATGCAACAAGGCAAAAATACTGGTGTGCCTTATCAGCTACATCAACGAAAATGGCCAACAGTTGAAAATGTAATTTTTCCTTATATTGATCCCATGTCAATAGCCTACTGACATACTGGTGCAGCCCAAGAAACATTTATACTGATTTTCCATTGCGTGACTTTTAAATTGATAACATTCAAGAAAGTAGTTATATGTTCGAAAAATGTAACTACTACAGCTAACTTTTATTACAAACATGGATTCTGTGCTTCATAATAACATTTCATTATAAGATTCAAAATGTGTAATAAGAGGAAAACACTCTTAAGAGATAGTCATTCAACTTTTTTTTATTACAAAATAAATTTGCAAATTAATTGATTATAAAAAGTTTTTTATGAATCCTTAGAATAAAAGTGACCCCTAAGTAGACAAAGGTTATGAATCTGATAGTCTACAAAATTTCCTTACTATTTTTCATGAATACTAAATAATCAGGATATAGAGCTGAATGACATAAATATGAATCAAGGGCTGTTACACATATCTCGTATAGTAACACTGGAGGATGAAGCTGGTGAATAGACATAGCTATAAAAAAAGCTTAAATGCATGCTTGATAGAAGTGGTATTTATAACTTGTGGCTGTTTGAAACATATCTGTTCAAAATAATTAATTCCCACTACTAGATCTCTTAAAAGAATTGCTGAAAAATATAAAATCAAAGCATTGCAAAGTACCTCTCATCAGAAGTAAAAGTAATTAATTCTTACAGTAGAAAAAGGTGTCATTTTATCAGAATCGAGATGCATAAAACAATACCAATGATTTAACTAATATGACAAAACAACTTAGCACTAAGAAGGGAACATCAGAATTACAATACAGAGATAATGGTTTATTCTAAGCATTCAACATTAACTAATATATTTGATATCATGTAGCCTAGAGGTGATAACAGCATCAGTAGTGCATAGGTGGAGGCATTGTTGAAATTAAATATGATCTTTAATAGAACAGAAAACAAAACAAAAAACAATTGTGATTCAAGAGTAATTAAATATATAACTGCACATATTTTAACCCTGTGCATATGAGAGGGTCAAAGTGCACATTTTATGACCTTTTAACAGATACATTCAAAATATAATTAAACTATTTTATCATTAACGTACATTTACTAAACTTGGAATCAAAATGTAGTTTAAGTTTAACATTTCTATATTATTCAAGTTTTAATTTCTTATTTTCAAAAGGGAATATCTAAATAAATTCCCAATCCTTACTTATGAATCACACAACAAAGGGATGATCTGAGAGCTTCAGACTGTTCTACAAATTAGAAACAAATATTGTAAATGTTGACAAGCGAGAATATAAAATTTCAACCTCTTGTCTTCTTGCTTTACTAAGAAATCACTACATTTGTTCAGCCCACATTGACACACCCCTCCCATACTCTCTGTCTTTTAGAAAATATCTGTAATTCTCTCTGAAATTGCTATTGAACATGTTTATAACCAAAAAAAGAGCTATTTCTAAGCTACATAAAACAGATGATTGTTTTCATTTTATTTTAGTGGTAAAACTAACATTTTACTGTGAGATCTTGACCTGTTGCTCAAAGAGGTAAGGAAATTATTTAAACCCTATATATAGGTTAATTAAAAAGTTAGATTTTATTAGTTTTGGAATATTTTATTCTAGTGTCTAACATGTTTTTGGGTTCTCAAATGCATACTCTTGAAAGTTACATGAATTATTTATGAACAACTAACATAGTGGAAAATAATAGGCTTACTAAACCATGCATCCAAGTGTAAAGGGCCTTAAGGCTAAAATAAATGCTAAATTTCTAGTGTCTTTAGTATATTTTTTTCAGTGTTATATATTTTTTAACAAAAGTAATTAAAATATAAAAATTAAAGATTTATTAGGTCAAATAAAAAATTTTTAATGACAAAATTAATCAAAAATATTTCTTCTCAAGAAACACACCCAGGTTATCCTTGCATGATGCGAGTCAATAGCTTGTTCATCCTAACTTGTTCTAAACTCTTGTCACATAATTTATTGCTTTGTTACACTAGTTAGACACAGTTCAATAAAATTCAATTAAAGTAAATGGGAAACTGTTAAGGGTCTGAGGATATTTAGGAGGTACTAATGGTTATGCAAATGAAATATGAAACTGTAAGAGGAAAAGAAGTATTTTTATTCTTTGCATGAAAATCACCATTCACTCTGACTCTGTAAATGCTACATAAATTCATAGACAAGTCTTTAATAAGTATATTCCAATAAAAATATGTTTTTTTTTTATGTACAACAGACTTGTAATGTTTACCAAAAGCTTGCCAAATTTCATGAAGAAACACTTTCAGTTATACGAGTATAGTTTCATGGTTACATGGTAGTTACAAGGTCAGTGAAACTGATTCTACCCATATGCACAAGCTTAAACAAGGCTCTGGAATTTTAAAAAAATTAGCCCTTCAGCTCAGTGGACTCGTACTTACATTTAAAAACTCACTCTCAATCATGTATGCATGTACTTACTATTGACAGCAACCCATTCATTCAAATCTTCACCGTCTGGTAACAATACAGCAAGACGTAGATTTCCACTCCCCAGTGTGGCTGCTGCATGTTTCATCAAGTCATACTGATGAGTGCCCTCTGGAATGTTCTTCTTTGGTTTAAATGTTTTAGAGGAACGACCTCCACTGAAAATAAGTTTAGAAACTACCAAGTTATTCATTTCAAACTTGCTTCTATTATTAATTCATAAGTTCATAATTTTGCTTTTCACTTCAGGAGTATTTGTACAAAACACTTTTAATTCATAGATATGCTGAAAAAAGTTTCAAACATGATTTAACCAAAGCGTACATATATAATTATATGAATTGCTCTAAAATTAATCATACTTAAACTGAGTTTCCTTAATTTTAATATAATTTCATGATTGTGTTGAGCATTCCAATTAGCATTCTGATAAATTACTATTTCTCATAGAAAATATACAAGTGTTAAAGTATATTTGTATTATTAGGATAGAAGCATGCTTTTAATTATGTAAATTTAAGATGAATTTTGTAAAGTATTGTCATATAAATTACAAATATCCATAATTTATTAATGTAAGTTGACATTTTATGTAATAAGCCACATATTATAAAATAAAAATCTCCTTAACCTGTTATCCAGTAAAATTAAATTTATGTATTTCACAATATGAAAAATTTTACAGCAGAAAAATGAACTACAAAAACTTTAATTTTAAGCTAATGTATGGCTTTAATAATTTTCTTTCCATTTCATGCTTAAGCAAAGTTTTCTAATAAAGGTCTTTAAAAACACCTCAACTCTCACACCTCATTGAAAGACATTTCAGTGTTGTTTCACACTTTCTTGCCTCATATATCTCATACAAAACACACAAATCCATGCCTACTTATTATGCAGTAATATCAACACATTTATGCTACATATTAAAAATAATTGCATAAAGCAGTGTCAATAACCATGGCAGGAGAAAAATTCTATTATCAAAGTAGTGTTACACGTTCTTTAGTTAATTTCAATGCTTATAATGAACCATATGATACCAAAGACACAAATACAGTTCATGCATGTCAGATCACTGGGTCAATTGAGGGTAGTCGAAAGGCTAAAAAAAGCATTTTATGTACGCATAGCAACAGAGGTAATAGTTATTGTATTGTGACACAAGAATATTTCCAATATATGTGATAATATTGTATTGTTCTCATTCCTTCTAAATCTTTCCTCTAACATGGAAAAACAGCAGCCATCATGTCATTTTTTGAGCGGGGGGGGGGATCTGTAAAAAAGCATTTGTGAAATATCATTTAGAAGCACTGGCCAAGAAGGCTCCTTGATGTCCATAATTTATATATTCATTAACACAAAGCTTAAAGTAACAAACTACAAAACCATGCATAACTTAATAAATTCACTAATTCATCTGTGAAGGGCATTAGACTATTACTATACTTTTTCTTTAGGTGTGATAGAAAATGAAACAATGAAGGAGTTTAAAGGAGATTGGAAGTGTTTCTAAAGATAAGGATTGGATACGAGAAAAAAAAAGTTTCTATAGATGGTTTGGGGTGGAATGGTAGTAAAGAACTGAGATAGGTCAGATAGTCTACTGTTATATCTTAGAAATAAAATATATTCAGTTTCATATAATCTGAGAGCACAAAACTATGAATTAAAACTTATTCCTTTTTTCTCTCTTATGATTCAAAAAAAATAGTTACATATTTTGTAAGTCTTTCCAACAAAAAGGTGACATAATAAATTAGCATATGACTAAATTTCTGTTTCATTTGTGATTTATCCCTATATTATGGCTTTATCCTACATATTGTGTAGTAGTTACGATATGCACTTAGCACACAAAAGTTCTTGGATTTGCTTCAAACTTCCTAGTTCTAGTATGGCAAGTGCTTGTAATTGTGAAAAAGTCTGCATTTATAAAAGTCATTTCCTTAAAGTCAACGGTTAACAGATGGTAGTAGCAAATAATAGAAATATAAGAATGTATTCAAACAGTTGTTCTTAATCTGTGGTCCATGGAAAGGTTGAGAAATTACAGAAATGAATCAGCAGCATAGTGTGTGTGTGTGTGTGTTATTTTATAGCAAAGCCAAATCTGGCTATCTGTTATGTCTACCGAGGGGAATCAAACCCCTGATTTTAGCATTGTAAATCCATAGGCTTACCACTGTCATGCTAGGAAACCAGCATCATAGTATACATATATGATTATATTCTATCATGTTCAATATAAATACAAAAAATAAAAATAAATTTGAAAATCACTGTATGGCCAGGCTTTCTTAAGTGTCCAATTTAATGTCGCCAGTGTTCTGGGGGAAATTTCTCAGAGTACATGCCTTACACAAATGTATAATAATTTCTAAATGAAAGATGATGAACAGAGCTTTTCAGACATATATAATATGTTGAGTTTGTGTTAAGTTTTTCCAGCAAACCAAGGAAACAAACAATGGTGAGGTGTTAAAAGTAGCATGTCAACAGCAGACAAATTTATTTTCAAAGCAATAACACAAACACAAAAATTGTAAGTATCACTCGAGCATTTATTGCAATTAATTAGTAAACATTTATGTTTTGAAAATTTGTTATTAGCTGATTGTCCTATTACTTTTTCACATATAAAAATATCCAAAATAAAATGTCACCATAATCATGCGTTTCCTTTACGGTTGTTTAATTTCAAGACAGTAATTACAAATTTTTAAGTAAATAAAAAGATTACAGTCTAAAATCAATCTGGGAATTATATAATTTCATTTGATCATGCACCAAACACAGGATATCAAGAGATATTTTGGGTATGTCCATTTGGAACTTGTAATAAAATTAGTTTTTTTTAAACAAGTGATCTCCTTTATGTGATATAATGTAGATACTCAAATAATGTCATTTCATTATATCGTTATACATAACAGTCAAGACATTTATTGTTATCAATAACTGAAAGGGTAAGAGTAAATTGCATTCTTCAATAAAAATCACTGAACATGAAATTGCGTGAACTCCTTTACTTCAGAGGGGAATATATAGAGTGCATAATGCTTTTCCCACCATATTTAGTTTCCACCATGTGCAGAGTATTAGGGTAGGGTGGATTTGAAATGTATTAGTCACAAATTAACTCATTTTCCTGAAAGAAAAGTCCTTGAAAATGGGAGTACCAACATTCAAATGGTGTGAGTGGTGGTAGTTTTAGGTTTAAATAACTGATAAATTACAAAGCTAAATCTGTGAGCAATAATTAGGGGTCTATTTATAAAAACAGATAATTGGGGGCATGGTACAATATAATCTAGTAAAGGAGAACACATATAAAAAACAGTAGTCCTCTTAATCAAGGTTGAAAAATATGACCTATGTAGCCCGAGTGCTAGATTTTTGGCACAAAGTTCTTCAGAGGTTATATTTTCAAGAACTGTTTAAATCATACTTATAAGAAAAGGTTTTTTTTTCAACATTTTCCAGTTGAGAAATGGGCACTTAAAAAAGCCTGGCCCATATCAGAATGACATATCAAAAATAAAAAAATATACAGCCACGAACTTGATGAAGCCAAATTACTTGAAGTTGGATTTTGTACTTTGGTTGCTTGTTTTTTTATAGGTAACTATAAATTCAATTCTCGTAAGACACTGGCAGTTAATCTACCTTTTATTTTCTAAACTCTTCTAGTTCTAACACTAACAATGCCATTTAAAAATCCTAATTTGAATATTACTTTTTAAGCATGTTAATAGTAATACTAATAGTATTACTATTAGTAATAATATTACTTAGTTTGCTATGATTTGAAATAATCTGACAAACCAGTTGACCTAAATTATGTATAAAATTAGCACTATAAAAATATGAGAAAACTTACAAAAGAAAGCTCATTTTCACTCAAAAGACAAATTGTACTTGAATTTGAAATTACGTTCAAAAAAGATTACGAACACTGGATTAACCAGAAAGTTAACTAAGCCTATTTGATTACAGTCTCAGAAAAGTGCAGTTACATTGTAAAGCTCTCTCCTACATTTATTATTAAAACCATTTTGCAACAAAAATACAACACTCGCTGACGTAAACGACAAAATGTCTCAATCTTTACGGATGCTTCTGTAGGCTTGCGCTCGAAAAATGTAAACGAACTACATATTTCGCGATTAAACGTTACTTGGACTGCACACTGTCAAACGTGCCGCAATAGGACTCCACAACTGTGAAAAGGAGATCCTGTGATTTGATCAGTGCTAAACTCCTCCCCTGTGTAAGTGTCAATAAATAAACACCTAGTTACTGTACTTACCTACTACTCAAAAAACTTTGTAGTGGTACCAATTTAAAATATTTTTAAATACGTTTAACCTATAGTTGTACAAACTGAAATACCGATAGGAACTCAGTTTTAATCTTTTATAAACTTAATATAAAAAAATAGTTGTTATAAAATGTTATGTTTTATTTAAATAAAATTATTAAACCAGTGTAAAAACAAAATGAATTTGATTATAAACACAGGTATAAATCATAATTATCTACATAATAGCATATACCTATTAAATGGAATCAGATTTGTAATAAGCACAATTTTAATTCAGAAATGTACGCACGAATATTCTAAAATGTTGTAATAAATAAATTATTTTACAAAATGTAAAAGATACGTTTGACTAGCAGTACAAACTGTAATACCGAAAGGAACTCAAGTTTCAACCTGTAACAAAATTAATTAGAAGGAAAAAGTAGTTGTGACATGCTAAGTTTCTTCAAATAAAATTCATTGAATTAATTTAAAAGATTGAAGATTAAATAAAAAACATTCATACAAATTATAATTACGTTATACTGTCGTACATGCTAGCTAGAGGGCATATGACGTTAGATCGAAAAGTTTAGAAGAGTAGGTTTGTTTGAAGTTAAGCACAAAGCTACACAATGGACTATCTGTGCTCCGTCCACCACGGGTATCGAAACCCGGTTTCTAGCAGACATACCGCTGTGCCACTGGGGGTGGGGGACAGAAGAGTAGGCCTAGAATGTTCAAGATGTCGCCAAGAAAACTTAGTAATTTCGACGCATATTTGGAAGTGAAACATCAGATATAAACATTAGTGGGTCAGTCATATAGTAAGCCAGCAGAGAAAAGAGGAAATAAACTAATTTGTTACCATTACGTGGATTGGACTTCAAATTATTATTATCTTTTTTTTTACCAATTATTTTTTTTAAAACGTCCAACGAAAGAACCACATTATAACACCAGAATCAGAAGTGGTTTATTTTTTATATTTTCTTTATTTTTTTTTGTGAAAGCAAAATATAACTTGGCTCAATTTCAACAAGTTACTTGGCAACTAGATCCAGAAGTGAGATTGAAGCATTACTGGAAATGATGAAATTATTAAAAGAGGTCCAAGAAGAACGAGACAGAAAATTAAAAGATGACCAAGAAGAAATTTATAGGAAACTGATAGACGATCAAGGGGTAAGAGACGGAGATGTAAGAGCTAGAAGAATGAATAGAAATAGACCTGTTATTAAAAAAAAGAATTAAAACAAATAATAAATCTGATTGAAAACAAGATTGATTAAGTACAGAAATTTTGTACAGACAAAATTTAAGCAGTATTGAAAAACATCAATGAGGTAGACAATATAACCACCGACAGAATAAAACATATTGTTACGTCTCCGTTTGTTAATTGATTTTCCGTAAATTCGTTCCGACGAAACTTAAGCGACACAAGTTCTTTCTTAATAAAAACTGGTTTATTCTTTCCGAATATAACTTTACCGATACACTCAACTTCAACAATCGCGCTAAACAAACGCTGTAACGTCTCTCGTGCTCTCTGACTGCAGTTCAATTACTCACTGTCTACCCACACATTACATTCCCCTCTTTTATATACCAGCCTACCCTATATCCAGCAAG